AAGGTCACAGTCTTTCCCTCCCAGGTCCTGCGCAGCCGAGGCTGTGTGAGCACCGCGGACTTCCAGCAGCTGTTAGCAGAGGTAGCGCTCCCGCCCTGCCCGGCCGTGCCCAGCTTTGGATTCCAGCCTCAGGCCAGTGGCCCCTGATCCTCCTTTCACCCTTCGTGTTCCTATTCACCTCCACATCTGGGTCCTGGCTCCAGAAGCAGAGCCAGCAGGAAATGCCCAGTTGCCGATATCATGCTCTCAGCAACTTCCTAAGCTCAACCAGCATGCCCATTTGCAGACAGGAAACAGACTGAGGGCCATCCCTTGCCCAGGGTCCTGCAGCAGGTGCAGCTGAGATCTCAGCCAGGCTGCCAGGCCCTTGGGCTCCTCATTCCTGCCCACGAGCCCTTGTGCTGGTGTCAAGGCTGCAGCTGGTCATTCCACTTCCCCCATCCCAATCTGCAGGGCAGTGGTGGAGGGCCTCCCAGGGAACCCTCTGCAGCCCTGGGTCCCAGCACTTGACCTGACTGGGTCCAGCTGGCTGAGGCATATCCAGGGGATCTCATCCCAGCCAGGTTCAGTCCAGAGCAGCCCGTAGAGGGATGGGTGCCCTTCTAGAAGAAGCCCTCTTCAGCTCACAGGTTGGCACCTGCCTCCCACCCTGACTCAGTAGTGCAGGGAGACTCGACTTCCAGCTCGGGCCCTGCTCTGGCCTTCCGAGGCCACAGTGTCTTCCCCTGCTTGATGGCTGGGAGGGTGGGGGCCTCGCCCTGGGAACAGCCCTGTGTCCCACCAGCTTGAGCAGGAGGTGCAGCGGCGGCAGCGGCTGGGGCAGGAGTCGGCTGCTAGGAAAGCCCTCATCGCGAGCTCCTACCACCCGGCCCGGCCCGACATCTACAGCTCGCTGCAGGTACCTGGCTGGGAGCCTGAGGGTAGCGGGAGGTGGCAACCAGGGCTGGCACCTGCCTGCCCCATGGCTGGCCCATTCTGCCTCCAGGATGCAGCTCTGGCCCCTGAGTTTCTGGCCGCGGTGGAGTATAGTGCATCTCCTGGCGCGGACCTCGAGGGCCTTCTCCAGAGGCTGGAGACACTGTCGGGTGAGGTCTTGCCTGTGGCCTGGCAGCATGGGGGTGGCAGCCTGGGGTCCCTCCACCCAGCATCTCTGTCTCCAAAGACTAAGTCGGTGGGAGCTGGAGGCCCAGTGGGAGCAGGGCATCCGTGTCATCCATTCGTCCCCACGCGCACATGCACCCAGCAGCAGGTGTCTGTGAGATGGGACAGCTGGCACAAACAGGGCTGGTCACAACTTAACGAAGGGACAGCTGAGACAGGTGTGGGCAGGGTCAGATCAGCAAGGGTGGTAAATCACCCCCGGGGGGGCAACAGGCAGGCAGTCACCATCCCTTGACCTGAAGCTGCAGGTGAGGGATGCCAGACAGTGCTGGGCTCTGAGCAGAGGCATGCAACCGCGTCATGTCGGAGGACATGGAGTAAGAAACACCCCAGTTCTCCCGCCCTGAACTTTCCTGCCAAACAGGGCTGTCCCTGGCAACGGGCCCCTTGCATGTTATTGAACCCCTCATCACCTCACCTGTAAAACTTAAGCACTCCCGTTGCATAAGGCCTTGGGAAGACTGAGCTAGAGTGCACAGTGGGCGGGGCACGGCCGGGCGCAGGGCAGGGGTCAGAGTGGCCGCTGCTCTGAGTGTTGCCCAGGCTGGGGGATGCTGTAAAGGTTGCTCCTCTCGGAGCCAGCAGGTGGCATGGCATTTAAGGGTGCTGGACTCCACGTGGTTGACTGGTTCAAGTCCTAGACCTGGTGGCTTGCTTTCTCTCTCGCTGGTCAAATTAAAACAGTAATAACAAATGAAATGAAATACTACTTAAAAAATCCTCTTGGAGCCTATGCTTACTGGGGGCCACGAGTGGAATAAGATCTCCCCCCCAGCCTGGGAGGCACCCTCATTGCTGAGGCTGGGTAGAATTGGGGTTGAGCTGTGAGGTGGCCTTGGGTGGGGGGTACAGGCGCCCGGGGCATTGGTAGTCTGCCAGAGTTGTTTCCATTTTCAGCCTGGCTCACCCCCAGAGGGCCCCGCACAAAAGAGAAGCCCCTTTCAACTTTTCTGTGTGGGGAACTGAGGCTCGAAGAGACACTGAGTTGGGGTGCAGACTTTGGGCGCTCGTCAAGGGGTAGGGGTGCAGAGAGCCTGAAGCTGGTTCTGTGGTCCTGCCTTGGTTCCGTCGCTGGTCTATTCCCTTCCCCCCTCTGGCTTTGAGGACCCACATCCATGCTCTGGGGGCCAGGCGGAGTCAGGGTGAGGCCCCAGGGGCAGCCAAGGGACACAGAATTGGCCTCCACGCTTCACACGCTATGCCATTAATGCCACAGTAGCCTTGAAGCCCCCCTTGTGCAGATGACGAGACTGACGCCAGGGGAGAAGGATGTGCCCAGTGCTCATGACCCGCCCGCCCTGGGCCATAGGTCCTGCTGACACTGTCCCCCTCCCTCCACAGAGGACAAGCGTGTCTACCGGGTGCCTGTGTTCACGGCGCCATTCTGCCAGGCCCTGCTGGAGGAGTTGGAGCACTTTGAGCAGTCGGACATGCCCAAGGGGAGGCCCAACACCATGAACAACTATGGGGTGGGTGAGCCAGCCTGGTGGGCTGAGTGGGGGCTGCTGGGCCGGGGAGCCCTGTGCAAGGTGCCGTGGGCAGCATGCGTCCCTAAGTGGGGTCACGGGGGAGCACTGCCAGGGTAGACAGTGCTTGCCCAGCATTTAGCAGCATCCTTAGGAAGGGGTGCAGGTGACCCCCTGCTGACCTCAGGATCTCCCTCCAGGTGCTGCTGCATGAGCTGGGCCTGGATGAGCCGCTGGTGACGCCGCTGCGGGAGCGCTTCCTGCAGCCACTGATGGGCCTGCTATACCCGGACTGCGGTGGGGGCCAGCTGGACAGCCACCGTGCCTTCGTGGTCAAATACGCACCGGGCCAGGACCGGGAGCTGGGCTGCCACTATGACAATGCCGAGCTCACCCTCAATGTGGCCCTGGGCAAGGCCTTCACTGGGGGCGCCCTATTCTTTGGGGGCCTCTTCCAGGTGAGTGAGACCCATGCGGCAGGGCGTGAGGCAGCCTGAGTGTCTAGGCCTGAGCCCTGTCTTCTGTAGGCACCCACAGTCCTGAGGGAGCCCCTGGAGGTGGAGCATCTAGTGGGCCAGGGTATCCTGCACCGGGGCGGCCAGCTGCATGGGGCTCGGCCCCTGGGCACCGGAGAGCGTTGGAACCTTGTCGTGTGGCTCCGGGCGTCAGTGGTGCGCAACCACCTCTGCCCCATGTGCTGCCAGAAGCCCGAACTGGTGGACGACGAGGGCTTTGGTGACGGCTTCACCAGAGAGGAGCCCGGCACGGTAGATGTGTGCGCGCTGACTTGAGCCTGGTTTGGCCCGGTGTTGGGGTGGCATGGCAGGGGAGGGCTTGCCCCTGGACTGGGAGGAGCAGAAATAAACGCGCTGCAGCCCAGGGTACTACCTGGTTCCAAAGGACAGCTGGCTCCCGGGTGGTTCTTTCAGCAGACAGCCTGGCTTCCTTCAGGTTTGCTGGAGCGGAGCCTGAGGCAGGGATTCATGGAGGGAGTGCCCTGGGAGGGGGAAGTGAGGGAAGTGGGCGGGGCCAGCAAGCAAGATGTGGCTTCCTAAGAAGCCCAGACACTGTCCTGGCCAGCAGCTGGGGCCCTGTATGGGCAGGGAGGGGACAGTCACTTCCTGAACACCCATCTGCAGGGCAGTGGGTCCCACTGCAGGAAGGCCTGCAGAGGGGAGTGCAGGGGCCACCCATCAGTGTAGACACCGCTGGAGTGCTGGGCGGGGCGACAGCATTTTATAGGTGAGCTCAGGTCAGGGGTGGTGCCAGGCTGCCTGGGTTCAAATTCTGCTGCTGTGGCTTCCTGTTGTGTGGCTGTGGGTAAGGCACTAACCTGAGTCTTAGTTTCCTGTTCTGGGAGCATCCAGGTCTAGGGCTGTTATGAGAATCAAGCGAGTTCCATTTATAAAGCACTTTACAACAGCCTCAGTGTTTGCCCGGGCCTCCTGGAATCTGCCCACCACTGCAAGAGGCACACAGCCGCGCTCTGCTTGGGGTACACATTTGGAACAGGGGGATGTGCTGGAAAGCCCAGGCCCCACCCCCTGCTGTGAAAGTCTGCAGGAGCAGAGTCCCACGGCACGGCCTGAGGTCCACTCCCTGGTTCATGCTCCTGACCTCTCTGGCCCCTTCGGACTCTGCAAAATCGGGCGGCTGGGCCTGGAACTCACAGTTGTCGGGGCGGGGCGCGCGGGTCCGCGGACTAGCGGGCAGGGAGAGCGGCGCGGCCGGAAGGGCGGTCTCGGGGAGGGCGCGCCGCCGCA